TTTTTTTTTTCCTTTTTACTTCATCATTTTTTTGTTATCTTATCTTTCTGATTACCTTTCTTTCATTCGTTCATTCGTCCTTCTTCTTTTCAATGTTTTCTTTCTTTCCAACAATCTCTTCTCGCTTAATTCTCCTGTATTGAGTACTTACTCAGTACACCAGGTGAACTGCACCTGTACCGAGCCCTAGGGTAGCACGTGAAGCCTTGATTAAGACGAGAAAGTAAGATATTATATGAAAGGATTTTTGGCCAGTTCAAATATATACCTAATTTTGTATATATATATAGATCCCGTTGATGCAATATCCTTTAATCTAAGTATCAGTAATATACATAGCATATAAATCTAGACTATTACAATTTTTCGATTCGAATATTTCAGTTTTGGCAATGTTTAAACTAGCTGAACAAAAATCAAAACGTTCAGATAGAAAAATATCAGCAGCCACCTGTAAGACACCAGCAAGGGTTTCGTCACAGATAACTATTACCCACAGAAAACGGGTTAGAAGCGGGGAAAAAATTAATTAAACTATGACAAGGATCTAAAGAAGTAAATCAAACCAATGTTTTTGATACAACATCATTGATACATGATAAAAGTATAATCACTAGTGTAAAAGGTAAGATAACATCAGATTTAACATTAATATGGGGAAAGCCCAATTACCGGTAAATTGGCGTAAATTGGCTATCTTCGCTAAATACCTCACAATCGCCCTCCTTAAATTCGAAATTTTTTTTTTTTTTCACGGTTGAAATACTAAAATTATTATAATGTGTTAAAGATTGGCTCGATAAAAGAGAGAAAAAACATTAAAAATGTACATTTAACGGTTTTTCTTCGATTGTTTATTTATTTTGTTTTCGATCTTAGAATATTATATTCCAAGAGTAAAAGTCAGATAATATTTTTTTATTACAGTAAACCTATCAGAAGTCGGCAAGTGCATAAACTAAGTGAAAATTGGTAAGAATCAAGCTGTTGAACAAGACGATTATATTTGTAAGATTTGTCTTTTAGTGAGCGTATTTATAGCGTATCTAATTGATCACCTTCCAAGAGTATATTCTCATCAAAGTAAGTCAAATACAAAGATATCATAGCATTTGGATGTTTCAAGCATTGACCCTTGAATGGTTCTTAAAGCTCGATTGCTTCTATAACAAAGTACTCACTTAAACCTATAGAAACAGCTGGCATTATTCCAAGAAGTTCTGCCGTCAAACGGTCTCTATGTCTTAGCCCGGGTGTTAAAAGCAATGCATACATTGGTCAGAAAAGAACAGCCTCCCTTGGTTTTGACCCTTATTAACTGCTTATCTTCTCAAGCGTTATTGATAAACAAAGCAATGATACTCAAACGAATATATATCAAGTGGAGAAAACATTGAACCAAACTGAATGGGTCGTTTAGTGCAAGGGGTCCACAACCCCATGCTTTATGTGTCAATTTTATATTCCCAAACGTACCTAGAGGTGAATAAATATATTTCAAATTGATCCTTACACGAACGTTTGGTGTAAGTTTTGTTTCAGAGAGTACAATGATTCTGATTGGTGTGGTCCTGGTAATGGTGTTCGAGTATACAGAGGGCTCAGTCTATGCCAATTATGGTAACTATGGTTCTGTTTTTGATCCTTTTTTAATCAATCAATCAGGACCTCCAGCATTACAGGTCTCAGCTGCACTGTTCAACATTTAAAAAAATTTCAAACTTATAATGTTGATTGTTTGAATTGATCAGTACCTTGTCAGTAGTCTTGAGCCACCAGTGCCCCAACTTACTTAACAGTTTTCACTTTTTCAGCCCTAATATAAAAGAGGGAGTGACTTACGATTTGAACTCCTAAAAGATACGACGATCATCTCCGCCCTTCGTTATTTGGGAATAACTCCTCATCCCCTGGAGGGGGAGGGGGGGGAGGTTGTTGCATTCCTATAACTTTATTTCTTTCTTATAACACACTTTTTTCTCCCATAGAAACATCATTAAAATAAATGAAGTTTTTTCGGAGAAAAAAGAGTGTAATGAGAAAGAAATAAAGTTATAGGAACCAGCCCAGACAAAATAGTCTACAGACTTTACACACTTACAAATCAATTGATTTATACAGTACCCCCTTCTCTATTATCGCAACTCCTTTTCTATTTTCTTATTCCTTTTTTGCAGGTTACGGCCAACGTTACCCTAGCTATCCATGGAGTTATCAAACACCGTATCAATTTAATGATCAACCAAGACCATTGCCCCCGCAGAGACCAATAATAACACCACAGAGACCAGTAATACCAGGATCACCGCAGTGGAAAAGATTACAATTTATTAAGAAATATCAAGCATTTCAAAGAAGTAGAACTGGAGGTATCGAGTTTGGACCCAAATCTAAAGGTATACATGTGTTTATTTTATTTTTTTATTATTCATCTATTATTTATTTATTTATTTTGGTTAGACTGAGAGTAAATGTACGAAACTATATCTGCGCATGCTCTAAATCCGTATGCAAAACGTCTTCATGTTATTGTAAAAATTTAACTTTCAAACATGCCTGATAAATTGGACTTCACAAAATGCCAAAACTTCTGAGTGTCCGTGATTGGAAGTTAATGCTAATTCTTTCATATTGTGTTTGTTAATACAGTATCTTGGTCTGACAAAACTATACTCTTAAATTTTCTTGTAGAAAACGTACGCGCAAACGTTTTTCTCTAATTTCGTCGATCCCACTAGTATCGTTTATTACGGTAGCGAATACTTAGTTCGTTATCATGAATATATAAAAAAAGTGAAACCGTGAGTCCTGGCATCTCGTTCCCTGAGGTACTCCTTTGAACATGGTCTATAATGAATTAATAAGTGTTTACTAATATTCTGATTGGTAAACGATTGTTAGAGATACTATGGTTTGAGAAAGAAGCATTGACCCATCACAACAGCCATCGACACCTCCACCAAGTCGATGGTCTGACCTTGGATCACGACTTAAGCCGACAAGCTGCACAATTCGCCCGTAGCCTGGCAGACAGCATGAAGATAGAACATTCCAATGTCATTCAGAGACTAAATCAACATGAGAACATAGCAGTGGGGTGTAGGGTAGCAGGGCCAGGATTAACCGCGCTTGAAGCAGTCAAATATTGGTAAGCAATTTGCTAGAACTTATATTTGGGGAGAAGAGAAGCCATAACTATCAAGGTGATTTTCCCTGTACGTAATACAAACAATTTCAATCCATTACTGATCTCATCGTGTGAAGTTTTGAAAAGTGACCCTAGTTCCCAAACGAATTTACACATTAGAAAAATCTCTCTCCCTTGTTATGAATTACGAAATATAAAGCAGTTTTTCATTATTTTAAACTGAGAAAATACTAGAGACATAGTTTTCTCTCCTGTTTGCTCAGCCTCCGAAACGTTTAGATTGAAGTATAGATTTAAAACGAAAAAAGAACTGTTTCATTTCCCGTTCAAAAATTTGTTTCCCTTTTTAATCTGTGGTCGAAGCACGCGCGGAAAACGAAATGACGCGAGCGTTCTAGATACTCACATCTGTAATAGTATAGCATTATGACCAATCACAGCGCACTTTAGAATTCTATAATGACTTGCAAAGTATATAGATCTAATGTCAATATCAACGCTTTCGTCATTTCTCCTCCTCTTGCTGCCAGACATTTTTTCTGCTTGTATTGATAAACCGTAGTCATTAATTTACAACACGGTTTTATTGTTTATCGGTTAGTTATATGCACCCGGATTGCTTATCTTTAGGTTGAGATCACAAATTACCCTACCTTTGTTGTTTGACAAGATTGACCGAATGTCGGATTTGTGTTGCAGGTACCAAACTATTTGCTATCACAATTGGGTACAATCCCAACCAAATGCCAAAGCCCGTCCCTTCACAAATATGATCTGGAAATCTTCAAATAAGTTTGGCATAGGTTTTGCCAGATTCAAGACCAACGATGGCTTCAACTGTAGCGTAATAGTTGCTCGGTATTCCCCTTCGAATGGACAAAATAGTGATTTCAGTAGTAATGTTAATAAGGGATTGTTTGAGCCTGTAAGTTGTCAATATGTCAATAACAGGGATAAACCTGACTTCATTGAACCAGACGAAAAAGATTGTAAAGTATCAAACGATCATCACGGCCAGATCGTTAACCAAGACGCCTCGTGTACCTTTAGCCAACTGTTTAGCGCTTTCGGGGCCTCAAGGAGAAGAGGAAAGCTTTCTTTTAGAGTTGTGCTTTAAAAGGCTTGAAAATAATAAAAATACTAATGACTTTTTAATATCTTTTGCATGGTAATTGACAATAGAAAATATTCTGTAATACTGACACGCAACGGGCAGAGACAACTGCCCGTATAGGTCCGTATCAGATTGGTCTCTTTTAAGAAGTGGTCAATGCAAGTGAAAGGAAGTGTCCTTATGGGAGAAGTGTCTGTAGCAGACCGGTGTCCGTATTATAGTGGTCTCTTTTAAGAAGTGATCAATATCCAGAATGAAAGGAAGTGTCCTTATGGGAGAAGTGTCTGTAGTAGACCGGTGTTCGTATTATAGTGATCTCTTTTAAGAAGTGATCAATGCAAGTGAAAGGAAGTGTCCTTATGGGAGAAGTGTCTGTAGCAGACCGGTGTTCGTATTATAGTGATCTCTTTTTAGAAGTGGTCAATATCCAGAATGAAAGGTAGTGTCCTTATGGGATAAGTGTCTGTAGTAGACCGGTGTTCGTATTATATGGGTCTGTTTATTTAACAATTAGTGAATATCGGGGAATATTTACAGAGACGCGAGTCTTCGATCGAGCGGCGAGGTAAATATTCTCCGATATTCACTGAGCCTGAGGCAAATAATTGTTTTAGTATAAATACACAGGTGATTCTTTCAAAAAAAAAAAAAAAGGAAAAAWAAGAAGATAAAAGACATTTTTCCGGTAACAGCAACAAAGCGGCTGGCCGCCATTTTGGATTATCGCTGGAGGTGATTATCGTGTGATAGTGTGAGTTTCTCGAYCAATCAGCGCGCGAGAATTTCAATAATCACCTGTGTATTTTTACTAAAAGAGAATAATCCAGGTTGAGGTGGTCATATGATAGTACGGCTTATTTAAAGAGCTCTTGATTATAAACGGATAGCCAAACCCGTTTTCAGAACATGGACAAGTCTTGTGAACGTATCCCTTGACTATTTAGGTGTTTAGGTTTCTACATAGTAAAAATGACCTTCTTTGATACAACCTTTGGCCTTTTTCAAATGATAAAGATTGTACTAAAATTCAAAATAGCGAAACGTTTAACGATAGGCTAGCCTATAGTTGATATTAAGCGGGCCAAAAGAAACTACCAAAAGGATGGTGGGGGGGGGGGAGGGGGTAAAGGGGTTAAGGCGTATCAAGCTAGAGAACCTTTAGACATGGCAAGTAAATGGCAAGCTAATCAATACTAATTTTACAATACGTGAGAAAAAAGCACTAGCAATAATTTTCATTTCAAATTTTTAAATAAAAAACGACGAGAAATTATGTCATTTTTCAACACTTATTAAATTCTTGGAGCCATTCAAACAGCTGGTGCACTTGAAATCCGTTAACCTGATTTGTTGGTTTAAAGTGATGTTGCAGGATTTGGTTTATTATCACCATCACCATTTATTCATTTCACCTACAAACAAAAAGGTATATCACTTTCCACACCAAGATCTCGAACAAGGTATTGTGTTGTTATTGTTTTTTTCTTTTTTGGTTTTATTTATTTATGTTTTTTGAAATTCAATAAAAAAACATACACAATTTGAAAAGACTGTATAAAATATGATAAAGATGTGTTTTTGTCACTTTATGAAATGACAAAGACACTTTTCTGATGTTTTTTGTCTATTAATGTCAATCTAAATGTTGTTTAACGCCGTTTATTTAGAACAGTTATGTAGAAAGGATATTTGCAATCACGTTCCAAGATGACAATTCAGTAGGCGAATAAAGTGTAGGGGCTACAGGACCTATTTTTTGTGCCAGTATTCACAGAAAGACAGCAAGATGATGTCTTTAGTGAATGTCACACGTAAATGAACTGCGGAAACACGAACGAAGAACCTAATTTTACTGCCTTCAGTACAGTCCAAAAAATGTCGGTCGTTCAATCGTTTTATTTCATAGTTTTTCTTCTTTTAAAAAAAGACGATTTATAACAGAAAGTACTGTCGTCACAACAACTTCATCGAAAAATCAAAAAGTAAAAGTTTGCAATAGCAAAGTCGTCATGAGTATATCAGAAATTATGGGATATCCTCCCTGGTATTTTTTTCAAAACGCCCTAGTGATAGACAACCCTTAAAAAATATCAGCGATGATATCCCATAATTTCTGATATACTTTTGATATACTTGTATATATGACAAAGGGATCAGAAGTTCTGCATATCACATATATATATATATATATAGTATAAATACACAGGTGATTATTGAAAATCCCGCGCGCTGATTGGTCGAGAAACAACGGTAATCATCTCCAGCGATAATCCAAAATGGCGGCCAGCCGCTTTGTTGCTGTTTCCTAATTTTAAATGTGTCTTTTATCTTCTTTTTTTCCTTTTTTTGAAAAAATCACCTGCGTATTTATACTAAAACAATTATTCACCTCAGGCTCAGTGAATATCGGGAATAATAACCTCAACTTCGTTTTGGTTATTATTCCCCGATATTCACTTCGCCTTCGGCGCCATGTTGGTTCAGATTTTTCTTTTTCGATTAAACCAACAAACAACAATTTCTCCTCACAGGTAAAGATGGCTTGGTTTGCTAGAATCATGGTGCTGGTAATATATGCCTCAGTTACTTGTAAATCTGGTTAGTAGCTTGTTGAGTGTGATGTGGGCTACCTGTGTGATTCCTTTTTTACTTATGCCGCAGCGGCCATCTTTAATTCTATTGTTTTCAATAAGAGATTATGGTATTCTGAGAGAGCAAAGATTGAAACCTTTATAGACAGTACAGATTCTAGGGTGTCTTTTTATTTAATTATACGTTATCCAATGTGAAACATCTAATAACCAATTTGGTGGTAGTTGGAGCGACATAAACACCCAAACTTAAAATCATTCGGGAAAGTAACTTCGCCACTAGATGCATTGCTTTATAAATATTTCTATGTTTTTTTTCCTGGGCATCACATAATTTAAGATGGCTGCCGTATCAGTAAACCGCCACCCAGTTAGCTCAGTTGGTAAGAGCGTCCGTCTGTTGTGCGGAAGGTCGTGGAGAAGAAGGTGCTGCCTTTGTAATTACATCTGCAAATGGTTAGATCTTCACGTCTTCTCGGACAAGGACATAAAACCGTAGGCCCCGTCTGTCTTCACTATATAACCCTGTATAAGGCGGACGTAAAAGATCCACTGGAGACGCTGGTGACGACCATCTTCGGTGCCCGTGCTAAACTCTACAGGGCCCACTTTAATTGGCAAAAAGCTGTTGTGGTCTCCCTGCCCCCAAGGAAAAAGCTAATAAATACAAATAAATACAAATACAAAAAATACAAGGTCTATTCAATGCATAAGTGCAAAGTCATCACCTTAAAAAAAGGGTTTAAATACCATTGACAATAAATCAATTTAAAAAACCGTTATCATTGTTATCATCATCACCATTATTTTTATCATCATCAAACATCCTTTTTTCGGTATATAATGGTTATTTATAAATACAACTGCAATTCTTGACTATATACTCATTTGTACATATGTAGCCTTGTTTCAGATCACATACTAATAGACAAGGCTAGTTCTGTATAAGCTGATGAGTCTTTCAGTTTGCATTGAGAAAGGGATCTATTAGAATCACCAAATTTACGAGCTATCCTATGTTTGTCATTAACAGGCCTTTCAGGACGCGTTGGAAAATTTCAGATAGCAGACAACAGTGTGAAAGGAGAAGGGACATATTCCCTTAATAACAGTACAGCTGAGATCAACCTTCATTTGTTGATTGGAAATACCTTAAAACAAGAACAACAACAAATGAAAATCCCCGTTATGAAACCCACTGAAAGCACTAAGCAAACAGGAAGAGAGTCGGGCACAGCCAACCAACCTCCACCTGGACCCGCTATTCAAACAACCAGCTCATCAAAGGATGGAAACAACCCACAAGAAAGACCGCTTAAACCTCTGCAGCCAGAACAAGAGCTTAGTGACGAGGGCAAGTATTTTTTACTTGTGTTCAATCTTCAAATTCATTGATCGAAGCCATAAAGGAATGTCTATTCAGTGCAAAAAAATTMTGTACTATTTTCCATGGCTCTCAACTTTTGGCTAGCAGAATAACTGAATTGAAATTTAGAAAAAGAGTCAATTTATGTTGTTGTTTTTTTTATAGACATGGCCTTTGCTTACGATGGTCTACGTGGGCATAATAAGTTTCGAAAAGTGCACAATTCAAAGTTATTGAAGCTTGACAAGAAAATGACCGCAGACGCTCAGAACTTTGCGAGACAATTGGCTAAACTTGGTACCCTTAAACACTCTGCACGTGACTCTCGACAAGGTCAAGGGGAAAACCTAGCCATGGGTTGTTCTAGTGGAGATGTTACGATGTCCGCTGAGACAGCAACAAAACAATGGTAGGTAACAAGCCATTATTTTCTTTTGTTTAAAGGAATCACGGGTGGAGTAGCGCTGAAAGCGTTCGCCTCTCACCAATGCGACCCGCGGGTTTGAGTTCCGTCGGGCTTGGTGTCGTATGTGAGTAGAGTTGTTTGTTGTTTCTGTCCTGTGTTCGGGGATTTTTCTACGGTTTTCTCTCTTCACAAAAAAATCAACTTCTAAATCCTAATTCGGTTCTATCGTTCGCTAGCCAAGTGGGTTGAGAAACCTGGTATACGCTTTCCGTCCACCATGGAGTGGGCAATCCTATTTACATTTGTTTTCCTATTTAACCAGCCTTTCACTCAATCGATACATAAAAGTTTGCACCTAAATCACAAGTAGCGATCATCGAAAATTTGACCAATAGTCCCCTTCACAGTTCCCTGCACCATCTTTAAAATGTAACCGTGCCGGTCCATCGAATCGAGAACAACGGTCACCGTACAATGATAGAAACATGTGGATACTTCTCCAAGTTGTTAAAACATGTCTTATTTATATCATGGCAATTTAACCTAATTCTTATGAATTTTATTTTCAAGGTATGACGAAGTATGTAAATACGACTTTGGAAACAAGTCGTTCCAAAAGCCATGTGGTCATTTCAGTCAAGTTGTGTGGAAGGCTTCAGACAGGATCGGTATTGGTCAAGCTAAAGGAACTAAATGGGGCATGAACTGTACTTTTATCGTGGCCCGATACGCACCATTAGGAAACATAGCCAACCTTACCGGAGATAATGTAGAGAAAGGTTCATTTGATCAGTCTTATTGCAACACTGTAACACGTGCCAGTCTTGAGAAAAATAGTGGCCCTCAAACACAAGATGAGAACGAAGAGAATCCTGGATATTATCCTAACTACGGTCTAAACGAAGGATTCTTAAACGACGAGGGAGAAGGATCCAAGTTGGTTGGATTCAGAGAGAAAATACCAAGAGCTAATTTCAAGATTGAAGTCTTGTAAGCGCAAACGCGCTATTCCCTTGCATGATTAATATCCTTGTTGTAATCTACCACGTGACTGAGATCAAGCATTAAACAACCTTTTTTGTTTTAAAAGCCAAGCTACAAAATCACTCCTTTATATTCAGGGAGCCATGTTGGATGATAACTGAACTCAAGAATATTGGTTTTGCTTGAAGGAATTGAATTTTTTCCATCTAGCTGAAGTTAACATTGTTCCTATCATCCGACATGGCTGCCGTCAAGGTGATCTTGCACACCTACTGTAGTCAAAATAAATCACAACTGAGCACGGATGGCGTAGCGGTGCTCGCTTCTCACTAGTACGACACGTGTTCCATTCGCCCTCGGTGTCGCTCGGTTCTTGTTGTTTCCTGAGTCTCGATCTCCTATGATATGCTTCGAGGGTTTTCCTCCCTTCTCAATAACTATAAATTCCAATTCAATTGTTGGGCTTTCATCTCTTATGGCGGAACTAATACTATTAGGGCTTTGTTGTGACTGTACCACGCTGTGATATAACAGAAAAAAAGCTCGTAGATTGTTGTTTTTTTTTTTTTTTTTTTTNAGTCCTGGTGTAGAAACCAATAGAAACGATAGAAACCCTTTTGATTGACGTCCACCCAAATTCAATTTTTCGTTTGTGCTGAAGGTCTAGTTGTTCGCGTGTGACTGGCAATCGCAGTAACTGATCCTTTTGTCAAAGAGATTGTACAAATATGGTCTAAACTTTTTTTTGAAGATAAGATAGTTTCAAAATTGCAAATCAAGTCCTTCCCTTTATGGAATAATTCTTTGATAAGAATTGACAATAAGCCTGTAACTAATTATAAATGATGGATGAGTAACTTAGGCGACATTTAACTAAGTGATATTCTAGATAAAGAAGATAATTTTCTTTCATAATACAGATTTCCTTGAAAAATTTGAGCTTCAAGAGATAGCAAGGACTTTTTACTTTTTTGGGGTATATTACCTGCTCTTAAGACTTTCAAACCTGTTTTTTTTTTTTTTGTTTTTTTGTTTTTTGTTTTTTTTTTTTGTTTTTTGTTTTTCAATTAACATCCTGTCTGATTACGTTAGTTATACACCTCGTAATGATAAAAAGGTAAATTATACACCGTGAAAAGATGAAAAAACTTACTGACGTTTCGGACGCTATTCCTTCGTCGGAGTAAAAGACGTATACACCTCGTATGATCCCGTTATGTGAAATCTTTTTTATCTCATTATCAATGTTAATAAGAGTGAACTAAATTGGTTATCTGAAGTGGAATTATTGATGCATTCCCGGCCAACTGCCTAAGGTTTAGCACTTTGCTGCGAGTGAATATGGGATACTGAAAGTATAAGGTTTGAAAGGTGCAAACACAGGCTTGATCCCAAAGATTATTTTAAGAATATTTTGAAATGAAATTTGTGTTTACATCTTTAAAAAAATTTAAACTGAAAAGAGCCCTAAATTCAAATTATATATGACTTTAACCAGTTTTAATGGTAAAACACTGAAATATTAAAACCTTTTTCTGATAATAGAGCACATGTCGATGTTGGTTCCCCAGTCGTTCACAACACGCCCATGACCTGCTATTTTGGCTGGTCACACGTGCTGCTCTTCATTTTATTTAGAGGTTTTCAACTCAAAACCTATTCTGCTTCTTTTTAATCTTTTTCTTCAAAAAAAGTAATGTCAAAAAAAATAAAAGCCAGTAAACGAAGAGGGAAATGGACGGCTTCCGTGCTTGTCTGAGCAAGTGATTTCTGGAAAAACAGATTGCTTGGGCGTATTCAACATTTAGATTTCAAACGATATGATCGAGGAATGTCGAAGTTATGAATAAATAAAGAAGTAAAAAACTCTTTATTGAACAAAAAGAGGACTCTAAACGCATTCACTCATACTGATCAACCAACCCATTCGCTTGGATCATTGCAAAACAAGTACCTTTAATAAGTAGTTATTCCAATTTGGTAAGTCGATTGGAACTCACATTTGTTACAGTATTCTAGAAGGCCTATTCTATTATATACTCTATACTAAATGTACGCGTATCACTTGAAGCTTCTGTGAATTAGCTATGGGGTATATATGATCACCAACACGAAGGGCGGTGTGTGTGGAAAGGTGTAGTTTTTGCTTCATGAAGAAATTGGATATTCAGTTCGAGAGTTTTAGGTTTAAAACATTTCAACAATAACTAATTAATAACTTTTTGTACTTTCCAAATATTATTTATTTTTGTTTCCCTAAGAATCTAAATAATACTGACAATTTTAATATTACCAAGTCAAGTCAAAATTAAAAAACAATTAATAATTTAAAACCAGTCAAAACTCGTAAAAGATATCAAAAAACAGTAACCGAAACTCGTTATTAGACAAGACAGACTATCAGGATGTTATGCCTTTCGTCAAACAAATAAACGATGTGAAAAGTAGCGCATATCGCTATCCTTTATTGATGTAAGAAAAATATATTAGCTATAAATCTACTATGTAAAATAGAATATATCAAGTAAATGATGTCTATATTTGGTTAGGAGAGAAAACAATCTGTTTTAATCATTCCAGAGCTAGTTCCTGGAACAAACGACTTGTGAAACCTCTGAAGACATTAGTGTAAAGATAACATATCGCAAAACGCAGCACTGATAAAAACTAGCGATTAACTATATGGGACTGCGTTGGTGTGTTAAATACAAAATAGATAAAAGAATAAAATACCGTGACCCAGAGGTGCAATATGCACAAGCACAAATTTAAAAACTATACATGTATATTGATTACTACAGAGTCGAAAGAGCTTTAATATTTTGTCAAACAAAGGCTTCAATGTCTGAAATATTAAAAAACCGTTATCGTATATAGACAAGCCATACAGTCTTTGATCGAGCATGTAAGACCAACTTTAAGCAACTGTGAACAATTAAATCAATCCGTCTGTTGCCTCTCTTTGAAGCCAAATATCTGTTTCATGGGGATCACTAGGTGTGTCGCAGAGAAGAGTACAAGTCTCTGATTAGAATTTTTCTTACCACAGGGATCCCACACGTTGACAGAAAAGATGATGTTCCATGTAGTGACAACATTTATTATATTATTTACAGATGCCAGTTTGTCAGGTAACCATCATCATTGCTCTTTCATCCTCGTCATTAGATTCACTAGATTTATGGTGCAAATCCTCTATTTACATTAATATTTCACAGCTCTAATTTGTTTAGGTACGCGTTGTTTACTGTTTTCTATATTTTCTAGCTGATCTTCACTTGAGCCTATCATCAGCGGTCAACGATAACAATGATCAAGGACTAAAAACCGTTGCCATTAAAGGAATTGCAAAGTATAAACCAGGAGGCTCTGCAATGATCCTCAATTTACTGATCCAAGGACCACCAGGAATTATGCCTGGTTCATCTGGGCCTGCAGGCTCAACAAGTACCTCTGGAACAAATCCTATTACACCAGCAGTTGGCAGTGCAGGACCAGGATCTCAACCAACGAGTTCGCCAACCTCCGGGACAGGCACATCTGGTACCTCGAAGCCTAGTTGTGGAGTAGGAAGCACAACAAGTGGTGGTACAGGCGGTGCCGGTGGTGGGGATTTCAAACGTAAGTAAAAACGTACTACAACAACATGTGCATGTACACGAGCCATCCTTACGTAAAGTAAACATGAAAATATTTACGATTTAACGCATGGCAAAATACTGGGGACATTTGTTTCTAATTTTAAAATATGCCTTATTTTCGGGCCATTAACACTCGGATTTCAGTCATTTGGTTATGGAAAATGGCAAAATATTTGTGAAATGAAAAGAAAGTCCCGTCATTTTCACCTTGAAGTTGTGGGGTCCATATGAAGGAGTATATGGCGTGCGACCGCGCGGCCATCGCATTTGCGAAATAAAACATTGTTCTTTGTCAATCCCAAAATGACTAATGAACACTCGGTTTATAAAATACTGCGATAAATAGAAGATTTTGGTGGGAAATTCAACTGCTTTGGCGAAAAGAAGGGCAATCATTTTGCAACTTTTTTCGAAGAGTTGTTCTTCGTTTAGTCAGGATCTTGTTTACGTCTTCGTTTGTTCGTTTGTTAGTTTGGCGTGGTTCTGGTTAATGAAGATTAACGAAATATCAAAGCTAGAAACAGTAACATAGTCGATAAGAAAATTCTGTATTCTGTGAAAAGTTCACGGCACGAACACGGTCGTGACACAGCAAGGGATACGCCAGACAATTCACATTGCACGAGAATTTACTCTCCATCCAATCAAATACCACGGCGCGGACACGGTCACGCAAAGATCACGGCACTTTTAGACCAATCACATTGCGCGTGAAAAAAATCAGCCAATTAAAATTCTAGAAAATATCACGTTCACGGCACGTCACGCTTACGGCACTGAGCTTTTCACAGTCATACGAAAACTGCTCTATTGTTCTGCGGGGCCCAGCGTGATCATCTATTATAGCTGTACCTAATGATTGGCAGAATGTTGCTTGTTTATATTTAGTAGCAAAGAGAACAATTCTCATAAGTTTAAGGAGGCTTGAAATGTGTTCTTTCTTAAGCACGCGCGCAAAGCTATAGTTAAACTTTAGAGACCGGATTTTCATAAGTTCAAAGCACGATAAACATATTTTTGAATATGGCTTTTTTCGCCCGGGATTAAGAAACTATTGGCGAAATATCAGAGAAATCTGTAATGCAGAACTTTTCTTATGATTTTAAGATTCCAGATGACATTTTTTTATGCTTTGCCGATAGCGTTCTAAAATTGAAGGGGGGCAAAATAGACAAAGATTTGACCAAACAGTTTATTTTGATCATTGTGCTTTGAAAAACACACAAATCTGAACTAGAAACCAGGAAGGTGCGCAGAAAGTCACAAAGGTCGTTTTCAGGGCAACAAGTTTTTCAGTGTCCACTTTTACGTGCCACACTCTCAGCGAAGATCATAAGCCATTATTGGACGAGGTTGAGCAAAATAATTTTTTCCATTTCACAGAAAAGTGAGCCATGCAATCTCGTACCCAGAGCCTGCATTTCTTCTGGCCTGCGGCGAAGAACGAGGGCTCTGGCATAATCCATTTTTTGATTTCTTGGACTTCCGTTCTAAGACTTGCCAAAAATAAATAAAAAATATGTTCCCGATTTCTAATTTTCATTTTGATCGGAAGTAAACACAAAACTCTGTTTGAAAGCATGCGCCAAAGATGGATCATGCCAGAGCCCTCGTTCTTCGCCGCAGGCCAGAAGAAATGCAGGATCTGGGTACGAGATTGTGAGCCATGTTGACAAATGCATCGTTATTGCGCATGAGCAGACTCTTGGTAGCAGCTCCTTGGTAATCGTTTCAATATAATGTCTAATCCAAGCAAACTCTGAAAATCTGGGATTAGCAGTCCTATAAGTTAGACAAATTTTAAAATATTCATAAAAGGAATAACTAAATTAAGCATTTGATAAATGTTTTATCTAACAGCATTTGAAAGCGAAGCGTTGGATGCGCATAACAAGTTCCGTGCGGTCCATGGCTCCCAACCAATGAAGTTAAACAGACAAATGTGTGATGAAGCCGCCGAGTACGCCAAGACTATTGCTCAACAGGGGCAACTGAGACATTCATCAAGAGAACAAAGAAATAGTCAAGGAGAAAACCTTTCGATGGGATGCAGCACAAACAGCGGCCAGACAACTACAGAGGCAGTTAATAACTGGTGAGCGATGATAATTAATTAGTTAAATAAAGCATCTATCTATTCCATGTTTTTGCAAAAAGTACAGTATAGGCCAATATCACAATAAAGTTCAAATGTCAGAGTTATCGAAACGGTAGTGAACAATTCCTAGACCGAAGCAAAAAAAGACTAAAATAAAATATTTACTTGTTACGCTCCGTGACGCTAAGTAGAAGTTTTAAAAGCAATAAATATTCAATAAATGATCTTTGTCAATTATGTCCATCAGGTACAACGAGGTGTGTAGTCCTGGGTACGAATTCAGCGTTGGACGGGGTCAGGGTGGAACAGGTCACTTTACGCAAGTGGTGTGGAATGACAGTACAGAGCTGGGTATTGGTAAGGCAGACAGCGTACAGGGGCGTATGAAGTGTACGTACATCGTTGGCCGGTATAAACCCTTGGGGAACTTTTTCACAGGTAACAACGACTACAAGAAGAATGTTAAACAAGGAAGCTTTAATCGACAGGCCTATTGCAGTTCAATCAAAAGTTCGTCGGCTTTTAAGAAAACCTCTTCCTTTTTCAGTAAGGTTCTCAAAAGAAAGTAATGGACAATCTGTAATTAAGTTCAGCCTAAAAGGCCTTTGTGCACACAATTACAGACCCTTTTTCTTTCAGTCCTACAAGGAAGTGCAAACCATAAAAGCATAAAAGAATAAAAATAATAAATGTTTGATTACTTCTTTAGCGAGATGGGTCATTCTGTGGTTTTGGGTGCACTAAAAACGATTAATTGTAAACGCATTTGCGGTTTATTTGATCTTAAATTCTAAATGGACTTTGTACTGCATCCTTGTTATCATGTTGATCAAGTAATAGGACATCTCAGGCTGTAGTTAGTTTGAATTACTTGTTCTCGAATAAAGTTTAAGTTACAATGTATATATAGTTGTTAAAGCCTCCCCACCAATCCAGCCCTGCAGATTAGGTAAGGGAAAGGTGATAAAAATTATTGCCACTCGCAGCTTCGCCTGCCTCGATTTAGTTTCAGCCTGTACCAAGGGCGGATCCAGGGTTTTTTGAAGGGGGGTCTCAGGAGTAAATTTTGTGGGCAAAGGAATCCCAGTCGCATTTTTACCACAGGAAGCCCATTTGACCTCAGGAATGACAGGGGGGTCGCGATCCCCCCGACCCTCCCCCTGGATCCGCCCTTGTGTACTGTAACCTGCCTCAATTTAAAACGAGCATAAGCGAAATTACTTTTACACTAAATTCAAGRAAAAAAAATGTGCCTTTGCTGGAAAAAAATTATGGTTTGCATGAAATAAAACCCGAAGCCACACGATCGCCGAGAAAACTTTACATTTTCCTATTTGACACAGGGTGTCCAAGCCCTTCTGGATCCTAAAATCAACGTTGAGCGATTTCTCAAATAATAAAAGGCGCCCAGGACTTAGTTGTATTTTCGAAAATGTCTCAAGACAAAGGGTATTTAGGCAAAATATGAGCAATTTCGATTTTTTTTCAACTGTCCGAGGATTCTCGACCGTTGCAGACATTGACTCTTAAAAAACACAAGAGAGAAACTACAAATGATGACTTCGGGAAAGCAGATGTATCCAGGCAGAAGACAGAACAGTTCATTCAAAAGGACGAGGCCGCTGTACAATGCCCTTATGGATGTCTTTTCGTGGATCTGAAGCCAACACACCAGAAGAATGCAGACTCAGAACTAATATTCTCCCCAATGATCAGACTGTTTTGAGGACGGGTATTCATCGAGTTACGCGCTTCCGAGTTATGCGCTTCGAGTTACGCGCTTTTCGAGTTAAGCGCTCGACCACACCCAAATTTGACGTTGTCACGCAGTGCGCGTAACCCGTACAAGCACTCGTGCAACTTGTGTCACAACGCTTTTGCGAGAAACTTTGTAGAGAAAATTGCTCCGTTTAATCGAGTCTTTAGAGTACTACTGACTGGATGTGTCTGTGTGACGTAACCCCAATGAATGCCGGACGTATCCGAGCCGCTAGCTAGAAATCTACGCCGATCTTTCCAGCTTCCAAATTATATATTAGCACGTCCACGTATGTCTTAAGTGTGGGATCTTTATAAACTCTTGCCTCTTTTCTCTTGCCTCTTTTCTCTTGCCTCTTTTCTTCATTGAGTTTTGGTGTTCTCCGGAGTTACCTGTCCTTTACTCATCTCTCTTACTTTTAATACGAAGTAAAGGTTGGCAACTCAAGGTCATCAAACTACCTAGTCGCGACAACGATCAAATATTGAACATGCCACAGACGGTATCTCTATTCTTCATTTATTTCAAACGCTAAAATCGGCCTTTCTCTCATGAAGTGTAGACTAAAGTTTGACAACACGGATACCAGGTAATTCATTTTAACTTTTATATGTTAAATGGTGTGGAGAGCGTTTATGGTTCGTCGTTACATCGTTAAATTTAATGTTTTGGTTTTCAAAGCCGGCACTTTTCGCTACCAGCAGACTGTAACTTATAGCCTAGTAGTAGCTCATCCAATCAGAGCAGAGCAATGTGGTGTGATAGAACACTAGTTGGATTTGACTAAAACATGTTAACTCTTTCGAGAATATCTCCTAAGAACTCCTAATTCCCTTGCCATGTTAGTCAGTATGTTGTTTCTTTGGCTGGTTTTGTTCGTCCTCGTATGACATCCCATATTCATTGACTCTGGTTTTGTCCACTGGATAAAGCCTAAATCAGAATCAATAAATGAACAATAAATACAACATAGATAGATCTGAAGAAAAAGGATAAACCTTACAATGACGAAGATAAGCATTTTTGAAGCAACAATCTTTGTGGAATTTTTGCAAACGAATGTGTGTATCTTGCCTGATAACGATCGATTACTGGCATACATTTCTTTGCAAAAATTCGTAGTTTAAATATCTTCGTCAGTTTAAAGCCGCGATTACACGGAGCAATTTTCCCTGCAACTTGTGCCGCGACGTCGTTGCGACAAAAGTTGCATGGAGCGTTGCAGCGTGTAACCTACAGCGCAATTTGAAAAATGTTGAGAGACAAGTTGCAGCAATCGTTGAGAAAAGTAGAATTCGTTTCTACTTTTGGCAACGATTGCGTCTACGTTGCACCGTCTAGACACTCTTGCAACTTGTGGCGCAACGTTGCGAGGCAACTTATACAGAAAATTGCTCAGTGTAATCGAGCCTTCCAACCGTGGCCACCCAACTTAATTTTTTTTACTAGTTATTCAATCGGACAGGAAAAATTTGTGCGTTTGCAGGTAAAATCGCTTAGCATGACGCAAATATTAAGCAATTATTGGGCGAGGTTCAGCAAAATATCGTGATTCGTTAGTTGCGAAACAACTACTTCAAACGATTAAATAGATGATTCTAAAAATAGCATCAAAGAGTGTTCATGATGGGGGCGGGGATTCCTTCTCTAAGTTCATATTTTCTTGAATAAATGAAATATACTATTAGAAGATATTTTAAACGGTTCTAAGACAATATATACGTAGACGAAGCATTAAACCATTGACAGTAAACACCTTTTTTCGATAAATCCGGCAAAAAATATCATATTGTCACGCTAGCGTGATAAGAGTCACTATGACTGCAGTCACCCTTGGCTTATTAATACATAGATAAAGGCATAGATCTACTTACCAGCGTTGGTAGATATAAACCACAAAGACGATATCATCACGGAAACACGCCAGCCGATGACTGGTTGGCATGGTGATGATAAATGCAAAGACGTCATCAATAAATGTGTTAAATGCCTTGAAAAATTAATGAACCGTATTAATGATTAAATAATAAACTAATTTATCTTTGGAGTAATGTTTACCCATTTCAGACCAAGTATTGATCAATCTCATCAGAATCAGATTTTTTTGTTTAATATGTATGCAATTCATGCGTCTTGTCACGCACTCTTGTCACGCACTCTTGGGAATGACACATGATCATAATTGGAAAAACAAATACGTCCAAGCTAAATTGGTCAGTTAAGAAAGAAAAGAGAAAAGGAAAAAAAATAAATGTGAGTAAAGGAGTGATAAGTACCTTGTACATCAATGCTTTCCAGGGAAGATGAGCGACAGACTTCAACTAAAAACGAAAAAAGGTTTCATAGAGATAATTGTTATGGGTCCCCTCCCCCGTCACAAAAATACAGATGAAAGTCCGTGTAGACCCCTTGCATGTGACGTCAAAGCAGCTCACTTAGGAAAACAAAAACAAACGAATGTCAACCTCATGAAAATTGGAAACCTGTTGTTATGTTCCCCAAATTGAGCTGCATTCCAACGCGCTGCAAGGGGTCTATTCAATTACTTACGCGATAGTTCACAAATAATTGTGGTAACATGAACAGAAACCCGACGACGTATATACCTAAAAAATAGAAGTATGAAGTCAAGGTTGATAGAATATAGAGTGCGAAACGGTACGGCAAATTCGTCGTAATAATGTAGCTGTATGTTATTAGGTTATTACCGTATGTTACCGTAGCCGTACCTAATGGAAAGGTATTTTGATGTTACAGTATGTCATACCGTGTGCTAATGAGCTGCAGGTTAGTACCGTATGTTACCGTAGCCGTACCTAATGGAAAGGCATTTTGATGTTACAGTATGTCATACCGTGTGCTAATGAACTGTAGGTTAGTACCGTATGTTTCCAACCCATATGAAAACCGCTGTACGGCCCATAAAGCATTTCATTTTGGTTTTGGCATCAAATTGAAGAAAAAAACGCGATGTATCTAAGCTACCTATGGTTTTGCCATCTTTTGTGAAGATTTACTGTGTAGTGAAAGATAAACTTGTGTATTTGTTGAAATTGCCAATGAACATCAATCAGAATAAGACCAAAACTAGTTATTTGACTAACAGCTATCGATGATTTGCAACCATTCCCGAGAGAGTTAAGAGACAAATACGTGGTATTAAGGAATCTTTTGTTAGATATCACCAACATAACACCTGAACGCATCCATACTCACCATTGACCAAGCTCTTGATAAACCACGAATACCAACTGTAAAAAAAACACAGAGATATTAGATGAAATTAGTTTATTTACTGCTGGTTTTCAATCATTCCCAAGGGAGTGAAATATCAAAAGACACGGCGGCCATGTCGGTTGATATAACAAAAGGATTTTTCGAAAAGTCGTTTGTTAAACTCACCCAAGATGGCGGCTAAAACGTCATATCCAAACGATACCAAGTTCACAGGACCTTCTATTGTCGCTTTTTTTCAAGATGGGAGAGTGAGAAGAGAAGGCCCTGGGAACGAGGTTCGTCCAAACGTAGAATTTGTCAGTCAGGGCAATTTGGTTACTATTTTCACCCCTAAAGCAGCCGTGAAACGAGTACGCGCGGAATGTTATCATGACTTTCTGGGTGTGATTCCTAGGTGAGAAGCATTATGAATGCCCCCGGGTCGGCAGTTTCCTATTTAAGCGAGAAAATCCAAGGTTTCGGCCTCATTTGCTCAGGTTCGCTGTACCAGGCAGTGCTAGACGGATTTTTGACCCCTACCACCTTCGGCGACGTTTCTCCATTATAACAGTTCAGTCCGGTAGCTTATTCACAGCCTCGGCAAAACACGTGTTCCCAAAACTTAACCGCGTCTATGAGGTAAATGGCTGCTTTGGCGGTGAAAATGATATACTATCAGCCCAAGCGAATCAACCAATCAGAAAAAAAAAACCAATATTTTTCTGGTTCAACATTGCGACTTTCGATTTTTTGATAAACAAAGGATTGCAGAGCACCCTAAAGTGTGTGTATTTGTTGGGGGATTAGATATTGGAAAATATAGCAGATTAGTATGCATAAAGCTATAGAAAGTGGCTGAGAATTCAGTTGCGGATATTAGTAAAATGTTGGTGGCTGTAATCCCCCCCTCCCTCCTCCTCCCTCTCTGCAGTCCCGGTTAAACCGAAAAATGGTTATCAAAAATAAGTTTCAAGTCACCTATAACACAAGGATAGTGGCACTGAATATCTTACGCAAATAACTGAACCTACCTCTTCTGTGGATGATAGATAAGTGAGTAAACTGCGCTAGCGGCTACCAGTGGATATATAAGATACTTTAAATAGTACAAGGCCTAAAAGAGAATACAACCATTATCATTAAAGGGAAAAGACTATGCCTTGTATGAGACTGTATCAGCACTGCTCATCTGCTCGCGATCTGGTACGTACGATATAGTTTAAAGGGAGTTTGACCATTTCTTTGCAGAAAACAATGAAAGGCTTGCCAAAATACTCCGTGACTTGTAGTATCGGATGCTTAGCCGACTGATAACTTCGATGTGCATAGTGAGTACTACACTGCTGACCAGTGAATATATAAGATACTTTAAATAGTACAAGGCCTACCAAGAGAATCACAACCATTATTGAATATAGACAAACTAAATCCGTGCAAGCATGACACTGTCATCTTGTTGAAATATCAAAAAGTACTTTACCTCGTCGTCAAAAGAATCGGTTTCCTTTTCTTTGGAAGATCTTTCTCCAAACTGAAACACGTTCAAAAGACATTATTACATGTGCGATCAAACCAAACGGTCCTCATAAAACAACAAATGTTGAGTGATATTTACGGGAAAAGCGGAACACACCCACCCCATCCAACCTCCCTAAAGGATGGAAGAGCAAGAAGACAGCATTTGCAACAAACCTTGATTCTCATTTGTCGTAAATCTATTTCAATCTTGAATGCTTTGGTTAGTTTCCAGGCCTGCAACCAGAATTGGAAACAAATTTAAGTATATTCGTCATGGATGGTTATAGTCTAGATGAGACGCATCGATCTTTGGCCGGGCATTTTCAGTACAAGAAAAAACGATGTGTTAACTTAAAACCTTGAAGAACAGGTACAAAGTAATGGCAAAACTGAATCTCCCAGATTGCAGCATATCTTATCCAGCAGTAGTACAAGCTGGTTTGAATGGAGGCCTTACTGTAAGGTTTATAAACAAGATGGTCTATTTCCATGGCAACAACATGTTTATACTGACGATAAGCCACAAGGCACAATGCTTGTTACTTTAGAAAAGGTCTGAACTTTGCGCTAACACTTGCGATGAAGAAGTTCACAGAAGCAATGTACACGCTGCTATTCACTTGACACTTAATGTGGTTGATTTTTCCACACTGCGTTAGAGAATTCTGTAAAGGCCGCGGAACGTCCCACGGAGTACTTATGTCCCCTCTTTATATACCTTGTGTGGCGTGCTTCATGAAATGTCAAATACTGCAACACCCACCTCGATCAGTGTCCCTATTCCTGATGGAATTGAAACCAAGAGACTAGCCTTCTCGTCCAGCAAATACAGGAATATTATAAAGCTACTGACACAGCGCCACACAACTAAGACAATAATGAGGTGATATTAACAAATGCTTTCCATTCAGGGTATGGCTAACTCACAGACCCAACCCTGAAACCACCTCTGGGCTGATCTAAGTCAGGGCACGGCTAACTCACAGATCCAACCCTGAAACCACCTCTGGGCTAATCTAAGTCAGGGCATGGCTAACTCACAGTTGCAACCCTGAAACAATCTCTGGGCTGATCTAAGTCAGGGCACGGCTAACTCACAGATCAAACCCNATCTAAGTCAGGGCATGGCTAACTCACAGTTGCAACCCTGAAACAATCTCTGGGCTGATCTAAGTCAGGGCACGGCTAACTCACAGATCAAACCCTGAAACAACCTCTGGGCTGATCTAAGTCAGGGCATGGCTAACTCACAGTTGCAACCCTGAAACAATCTCTGGGCTGATCTAAGTCAGGGCATGGCCAACTCAGATCAAACCCTGAAACAACCTCTGGGCTGATCTAAGTCAGGGCACGGCTAACTCACAGATTGAACCCTGAAACAACCTCTGGGCTGATCTAACCCCACTAACCCTAAGACTCAACAGAGGCAAGAGGCTACTCCATTATTGATTCACTTACCTGTCCTTGAAGACAGCCCAACCATGGAATCGGTTTTCCTCCAAAAGTTGATATCATTTTTGAAAGCAAGAAAGTCAAACAGTATCTGGAAAAAAGAAAGAACTCCTGATCGCAAGTGCTCCGTAAACGTGCATGATTTCATTCATATCTCGTCTCCATTTTATGGGTCATTTTCAACATCTCTGATGAGTATCCTGCCCTTTTCTATATATGGAAATCAGCCAAAAGGTCTTTTCTATTTTCATTTGATCTGTTTTCCCTCTTTCCCACTGCTCTCTTCCTCTTCAACGATAGCAGACAGACAGACAGACAGCAGAATGCAATGAAAACTAATGTTGGTCTATACTTACATGGAAAATAGAAATGGCAAATGTCAGAGCTAAAAGATACATGTTCACTTCAGTAAACAGGCCTCGGATGTCATCCAAATCCTTATCAGAAAAACCTGCAAATGATTTCAAAATAAAGCAACCTGAGAATTACATCTTCATAAAAACAAAAATAATGGAAGGCATGAAGCTTTTGGGAATAAAAGTGTAGAGGCTTTGCACCATAATAAGGCAGCCAACAGGGAATGGTGGAAGAGCTCTATGAAGGCCTATGTGGCATAAGGTGCAAGGAGGATAGGTATCAGGTACACAGCATCACTTTGTGGCTCAGCCAAGACAATAGGCAGGAAATTTAAATCTTATCTGATTTACATGAGAAACAAGTTAGTTTCTTAGGGGATTGTTGTACCTCCTGTCATGCCTTCCATCACATGATTGTACAAAGTCTCTATAAACATGCTTCTCCATTGTTTCTAAGTGAGGCCTTGATACAGAGCATTTTGTGCACAATCACTCATCCATAGTATCAAAAGTGTGGTTTGAATTCAAACTAGTAATCTTATACTTACCTAAGCTTTTCATTGTTGCAAGAGATTGGTGAACAGAAGACCACATACGCAGCCTTCCAAGGGATATAGGAGAGTATTCAACTATCAGCGGCATCTCCACTGAGGTCTTATTAAGTTGCTATATTAAGGAGAGGTATATATGTCAATATTAAAGACATACCTAAATAAAGTTATACCTAAAATAACTTCCACCACCTACCC